CAAAAACATGAACAAATTATTAATAAATTATTTAAGACGTGCAAATAATAGAAGTCTACACAACAAACAAAGACCAAATATATGACCTTTACAGACTGTGATTATGAGTTAATGAATATATTAACATGAATAGTTTGTGAAGTGCTTAAAGTTAATAATTAAGCTATATTTTCACAACATTTGTAAATGTAGAAATGAGTATTAGCTAATATGTGAACTGAAGTTTAATGACACTTGTAAGCATTCAACAGTACATTAACAAATAAATTTGTAGTCATTGTGTAATTTCTGTTCAAATCATTTGTAGATTTTTAAAACGCATTGAATGTTTAATGACATTTGTAACCATTAACTAATGATCAGTTAAGCATTATAAAATGTTTGTTAATGATTTATTATTGAAACTTTTAATCATTGCAAACCATATGTCAAAGTCATTTGAAGATTTAAAAAAAATGCATGATCATATGAATTGAAAGTTTAATGACAATTGTAAGCATTTGAATTTACATTAAATAATGATCTGTCAATCATTTGGTAATGTTTAATAAGTTCATTAGTTAACATTAACAAGCACATTATCTCATATTTCTAGATATGTGAATATATATTAAGAAATGATTAGTTAAACATTATGTAATGTTTGTTAATGATTTATTAATAAAAGTTATTATAAAGTGTTACCAATTATGTATATACATGCTTACTGTCAATACTCTTAATTTTAATAGAAACTATAGTTGATCAATAGAAACGATTCCGAGTTTGTGAATGAACCTTTCAGTTACTAGTCCAGATCTTTAACCAGATCACTTTAACTAAATGCAAATAGTCAGCATAAAGATGTGGTCCAGCAGAAATGATCATATGTACAGGAAATTAAAAACATATTGCAGTATGTCTGTTGGCAGAATCCTCTGCAGATCTGTTGACGCTGAAGGCAAAGTTACAAGTAACGGCTGGAGTACACAACATGACTTATGGACAAATTATGGACTGTTTCGCAGTCTGAAGATCTGAGCCCTTCTGCAGACTTTGGTCAGTCAGAACTGGCAGATTTCACAGAAAATCATGTATGATAGACACAAACTCTGTTTTTTTTAGCTTCAGACTTCAAAGTCAGAGGAGATCAAACATGTTTGATATTTTTGAGCTGATTTTAGAACACATCGTTTTATTTGTCAGGTGTCTCCTAGCAACATGACATGTTTCTGTGTGAGTTTGTTGGGCTTGTAATGACTTGTAAGTCTAGTCTGTGATCCTCAATCATTTAGTGTGTGATAGCTTGTTTTAATCTGTAACCGTATGTGATGCCTAGTGTTTAAAAACCTGTTCAGATGAACTGAATTCCAGTCTTAACCCTTGTTTACTAAGTGTGCTGAACTTCTGGGCCTCTGTACAGTTTGTTATTGTGTCTGCGGGGCCCTCAAAGGAGATTGTTATGGGCTAATTAATGTATTTTGTGCTATATATTTAAAGCCAAGAAAATACATTCATGCCAAATTTGAAGAAACACTGTATTTGTTAGCAATATGAACATATAACACATTTGAATAACAATAATTTTTAAAATACGCTTATAAAATAATATAATAATATAAACAGTAAAATAATATAAATAATCTTGTAAAATAAGCATTATTAAATCAAAGAGTTTTGATCTCTTAGCTGTTTGCATTTGGCTAAAACATAGCCAAATTCAAGATTGGATATGAATTTTCTTGTCCCTGAAATACATTTTGAAATATATTTTGGTATATGAGGGTAAACTAAACATATTTTCTATTTCTATTCAAAAATATACAGTGGCATGCAAAAGTTTGGGAACCCCTTGCAGAATCTGTGAAAATGTGAATAATTTGAACAAAATAAGAGAGATCATACAAAATGTATGTTATTTTTTATTTAGTACTGTCCTGAGTAAGATATTTTACATAAAAGATGTTTACATTTAGTCCACAAGACAAAAAGATAGCTGAAATTATAAAAATAACCCCATTCAAACGTTTGGGAACCCTTGGTTCTTAATTTTCCGTCACACGCTTGAGGTATTCGGCCAATCACAACGCACTGGATAGCTGGCCAATCACAGCACCCCTCGCTTTTTCAGACAGATGAGTTTTGTAAAAATCGACGCGTTTCAGAAAGGCAGGGCACAGAGGAGAAACAATAGTGTACAGTATGTGGAAAATAATGTGTTTTTTTAACCTTAAACCGCATAAACGCATTTCATTACAGCAAATACACAACATAATGTTCTTTTTAGCAGCATCATATGACCCCTTTAATAGTTGTGTTTGAGTCCCTCAATTGTCCTCAGTGTGAAAAGATGGATCTCAAAATCATGCAGTCACTGCTGGAAAGGGTTCAAATATGCAAAAGATGCTGGAAAACTGAAGAATCTGCAGGACATGGAGGATTTTTCTGAGGAACAGTGCTCAGTTTAACTGTTCAGAACAAACAAGGGACTCATGAACAACCATCACAAAACAAAAAACAGTGGTGGATCATCCAGGTAACCACACACAGTATTAAGAATCAAGGGTTCCAAAACTTTTGAATGGGGTTATTTTTATAATTTCAGCTATCTTTTTGTCTTGTGGACCAAATGTAAACATCTTTTATGTAAAATATCTTACTCAGGACAGTACTAAATAAAAAAGAACATGCATTTTGTATGATCTCTCTTATTTTGTTCAAATTATTCACATTTTCACAGATTCTGCAAGGGGTTCCCAAACTTTCGCATGCCACTGTATTTCATTGAGCTTCACTGTTTACAACATATTTTTGGCATATATTTAAAATATATTTTGGTATTTTGTTTGTATTTTGTAATCAGACCACAATGCAGATCCAAAAATAAAGCACTGAATAATAGTCTCTATATCAGCTCAAGTGTTGCTTCACTTTGATTTACTGCGTTAAATCTCTATGTGCAAATATCTATTAAAAATCCTCATGATTTTCTAGTGTAGTGTTTAATATTGGATGTGGTTTATTAGCTTGCAAGACATTTGACAGTAGCTTTGTGAGTCCAGAAGTAAATATTCCAGGTCTCATAAAACATACTGTAAGCTCTATGAACAGCATCCGGGACATGCTTTTGATCAATTATTAATGTTCATCATATTAAATAAAAAGTACTTCGCAAAAACATACAAACACAAATCATGTCTCTTCTTGGTTTGCATGTCGTAACATGAGTTGAAATAGTGTATGTAACGTTACACAGACCGTAGTTCTATATCAGTCTCATATTAACACATGTAATGTTTAAGTGTTCTGGCTAAACTTTCAGAACAGTTCATGTTTTCTGGTGTTGATTTTTCTTAAACTGAAGGAGGCAGTGATTGTTTTCTGAGGTAACGTGAGACAGGAAGCTTACGCTGCAATTCGGTCGCCGGGATTTTGCCAAGTAAGACATGTTCCTGGATCAACATAACTGTCCAAAAATATAGACTTAACCCAATCCCTACCCCTAAACCTAACCCTACCCATAATTTATTATGTGAAATGATAGCCGATTAACAAGAGTGTTGAAGCACCTAACCCTTATCGTAAGCCTAAAACAGATATTTCGTGAAAAGGTATCCCTCAATTCTGATTGGTTGATAGGAATGTTGATCCAGGATCATGTTGTACTTGGTGAAATCACGGTCACCCTGCAATTCTGCAGAAGGTTACAGTTACTTTGTCTTTCAGTACATCAGTGATGAAGGAAAGATTCTCAAGACTTTTAAAGCAGGTAAAGTCATTTATTAAGATATGTTTAAACATACAGAACGTAGAATAGAATTACATACTGTATAGAAAATCTTAATTTTCCCTCTTATACCCCGAACAAAGCAATGTTAAACATGAGAGAAATACAACTCTAAGAAAAGAAAAAGACAGTAAACCTGAAATTAAACTAAAAATATATATATTTAAAAACATTGATTAATGCACCAGATACTGTAGTCAGTATCATACTGAAATGATGAAGAACAGTGTCTCATGTTTAATTCACATATATCTTTTTAAAGGGATCTGCGGATGCCACAGATCTTGATTTGCAACATTCTTTCAATAGAGTCACAAACAGAGCAAAACAATGGCTGAACTCACAAGACATGACTGCTCTCATCTGGTGGTGGATGAGGAGATACCCCCTGACAATGTAAAGCGCTTTGAGTGCCTTGAAAAGCGCTATATAAATGTAATGAATTATTATTATTATTATTATTATTATTATTATCTGCACATATTTGATAATAAAAACCTTGACAGTCACAGTGAGATAATAAGAATGATTTACGATAAATATTTTTTATCCTAAACATCTATTGATTGATTTGGTGCAGTTTATAAAGAACAATACGAGTTTAAAATCCATCAAACATTTGTTGCTTCTAGATTTTAAGTTAAATGACAGACAAAAACGTAACACATGTACAATATTATCAAATGCAATATTAAAATACATCATTAAAAAAGTCAGACTTTTGCTGTATCAAAAGAGGTTGTGATATTTATAAAGCAGCCATTTCCTTTTTCAAATAAAAAAAAAAAGTTTTTCAGTTTTAAAAGATAGTTCCTTAAAATCCCAGAGTAAGCAGAAGGCAACAGCGGCAAGAAAAAAAAATTAAGATGTTTAAAATGGTGTCCTCTTCCTTGCATTGGCACATATTTCAACAGATTTGTGCAGAACATACATAGAAATACATACAAATTACAGTACAATCAGAGGATCCAGTTGCTCTGTTTTGCTGTGGGGATCAGATTCATATTCAGATTCATATTCATATTCTGCTGGCCTAAGAGTGAACGATCAGTGCAAATAAACATGAAGTTGATCACCTTTATCTATGATGATCTCCGGTAATTCTAACTACATTCTACTAGATTTCATCACGCAGTGAAATCTTGGACTCTCAAGGCTAATTTTTCACAAAATAATGTCAGCTCACACATCATTAAAACAACAATTACTATAATTTTTTTAATGATAGGGCCCCTGTGCAGTTGAGTCACGTTCAGTGAAGATCATTATAGTTCCTCCAGTTCCTGTGGGGGCTCTTGATTCTCCTCTGCTGGAACCTGTGTGTGACCTCTGTGCTGACGTCGCCGTATGATGACAGAAATCACAATCAGAACCACCAGAATCACCAAACACACTACAACTGGCACAATCCATTTCGCTACAGATGGAAAAGAGGAAGATGGGAAGAGAGCACATTTGAAAAAAAGAGTTTTTTCATTATTAAACTCACTGCTTGAAGATTTTGTAAAGCTCTCAATGCCTCTGTTTCACTTACTCTGTTGTTCAGTGCCATTCGTTTTGTCTTTATCATTCTCCAGTTTGTCCTTTGATTCTGTACCTGATTCTAGAGGATATTGAGAGGTCAGTCTCACAGTTCAGCATCAATGTGATGTTCAGATCATGATGAATAAACTTCAGCTGTCCACATGCTTTATAAATAATATTTCCACATATCTGAGTTTCTCTCACCTGTGACTGTCACTGTGATCAAGATTTCTCCTTCAGTGTCCAGAACTCTGTATGTTCCTGCATCTCTGTCCAGAAATACTTTAAAGATCAGGTTTTCATCATTTTCATTCAGTTGATCGCTCTGAACCCCATCAGTTCTGCTCCAAACCTCCCTCCACTCTCCACTAGAGCTTTTCTGCACTTTATCAGCATTAGACAACAGAACATGCAACTCCAGCTCCTCGCCTGTTTTCACAGTAATCTCATCTGAGGAGAAAGAGAAAGACATTAATTTTATTGTAATGCTGTCAAGCATTCAAGGCCATGAACACATATTTAATATCGGGGAACCAAATGTAATCATTTAAAAAAGCAGATGCTGATGTTTGATCAGTTTTGACTTTACCATGAATATGAAGTTGGTATTCCCTGGTTTGTAGCTCCAGCTCTGACTGATTATTGTAATAGATTCTCAAAATGTATTTCCCAGCGTCACTGAAGCTCAGATTCTTGATGACGACGTCACAGTTTCCTTCTTTAAACACTCGATCACTACATTCTTCATCCTGACACACATCTATGTCTTCTGACTGACTGAATAACTCAATGTGAACAATTTTAATGGCCTTAAATTCACATGTTAGTGTGACGTTTCCTCCCTTTTCTCCTGACACAGGTTTAGAGGTGTTTTCTGCAAATACAGACAGTATAATATTCATTCAATAGAAAGTATCAGTAATGAAAAATGTGTTTCTGTCTATTCTCAGTAATAAATGTTTTTATAAAATATTCTAATATAGTTAATTTAGTCAACTGGATTTTCTTTTGCTCAAGACATTTCATCACACATCTAAGTGGATTCGTCAGCTGAACTGATGGAGGAGTTTCTCTAATATTTAGCATCAGAAATGAATGTAAATATTAAGGATGCTCATTGCTCATCAGAGACATGATCTATTTTGCCTTTGTGCTCTTCATCTAAACACTTAACCTCAGGTTACTTCATTGTCTCTTCATGAAATAAAAGCATTAAATGCTCAATCTCAAGCACTAATGACTAATGAGATCTGGTTGATGAATTAATAGAAAGCAGCAGGTTCAGTCAGAAGTCTAAATGCAGCGACCAGAGGTTTACCTTATAAACTACTTAGTTTGAACTCTTTCCTGCTTTTACAAAAAAAGGACAGCAATTGTCTAAAACAAGGAACGCAGCACAAAAAAAGTGACTTTCATTGCAGCAACCAGATATTTGTTATAAAAATGGATTAAAAAAATGAATGAGGGCAATAAGAGCGAGCGATATTAGCAGTGACACATTTTAACATTTCAAATTATGATGAAAATAATATAACAAGATAGCAGATGTACAAGTGCAGTTGTAATGAATTCCTGAACAATCCCAGGTAGCCAGCTCGATCGGGCCAATTGCGGCTGAGTGTCAGCTCACCCAGTAATGGTTGCCAGATTTGGCCAGGCTTTGGATGTGCGGATCTGGCCCGATTTGCACTGAGACACGGCACATTTAGCCACATTCTGCCCGATTACGGACCATAAGGGCTGGTCTGATTTTGGCTGAGATATGGGCATGCAGACCCGGACCAGTTTAGGTTGAGTGCTGGGGCTGGGTCTCCGTTTACAATGTGGTAAATGTAGCAGTGACACTTAAACTTAAACATAATATCTTTTACTTGCCCTTGTTATGTTCGTATTTAGTGTATTTTTTTATTTTAATTCCTATTAATATTTTTCCCTTTTATCCAACATTCTCTTTTTTCTTTTACTACATTTGGAAATTAATGATTTAATTCATATAATGAAAAAAGCTTAAAGTGGTTAAGGGAACTTTAACATTATTTTTGCTCTATGAGTTTCAAGACATGCACACTAGCTTTGACATCTAATGACAAAACCTGACGGGCTTTTTGTGCTGCTAATTGCCAGAAGACTAGAAGAACTTAATACACTGGTGAGTAGACATTTGATAATCTGACATGTAACATATTGTAATAAACCGTTCTACACATATAATATCAAAATAATGTTTATTTATAATTAAGCTATAATTGTGCGTTCGCTGACATAGTGCTAGAGTTTAGCTCCAACCATAATCAAGCACAGCTGATCCAGCTAATCAAGGTCTTCAGGATTACTAGAAACCTCCAAGCAGGTGTGAGTTGGAGCTAAACTCTAAAGAGCTGCGGCCCGCCATGAATTGAGTTTGACACCACTGTATTTCGACTGGTCTTTTTTTTTTTCCCAATTGGTGCAAAGAACTGCAAGTACTGACAGTGCATCAGATGCAGAGATTGAAAAGTTCATCAAAAGATGGCTGCTGCTCACTTTGGACAGAGATGGGGGAAGAAAAGAGCGGCCCGGATGCAAGCAAATTCTTCCAAAGGTATGTTTCAAATGTTAACATTTACCAGAGTTACCCTTCATGTTCTCTTTCTGTCAATCTGTCCCTCTTTTAGGGTACGCTTACTTGAGGAAGCTCCAGTTTTTTTATTCTTGTTTTTTTTTCAAATAAATTCTAATATCACTCATATTTTCATTGTGTCATTATGAGCACATATGGATGTTCTGGGGTAATTCATGGGGTAGTAGGTGGGGATGCCATGAAAAGAAATGGTGTAAGGGCCAAACCCTTAATCTTTGTAAAGGTGACATATTTAGTTGACATGCATAAGTATATGTAGGCTTAACATGGACACTGTAAAATATGCATTTTATTTTAGTTGGAAGTAGATGCCATCTTAAGGATTTGAAGGTAACAATGTCATTTTGTGGAAAAACTAATTATTCAAAGCTCTAGTTTTATATAAAAACTGGAAGGAGTCTTTAATACACATATTTTAGAAGTTGTAATTCTGTATGAGTAAGTGTAAATATACTTAAACTGAGCCGACACCACCAGCATTGGGCCACTCGTCGGTGTGATTGTGGCCCAATGCTGGTGGTGTTGGCCCGGTTTCAGTACCCAGACTCGGGCCAGTACTGGCTAAGTGTTTCATTTCTCGTCGGACTCGGGCCAGTTTATTTGGGCCGATTCTGGGGCATCATTCATCCCATGTCCATGCTGAGTCTGGCAACTGCAGCCGGGCTGAGTTATTTCTTCTGGCCTGCCGGATCTGGGCCATTTCCGGGCCAAACCGTTTTGGATGTTTATTAATAAATTAACTGGAACAAACTGCATAGGTAAACCAGTGAAAATTTCCACCATCAAATTTCCACCAATAACTCTAGCTGATGCTGAAAACCAAGAATAAATACAGTTTATAAACATAAATGACACTGACCGCTGTGATAGACGAGACAAAGCAGCAGCAGCAGCAGAAGATTCAAGCATCTGAACCTGTTGAGAATAAGAGCTGTTATGAGACAGATACAGACACACATCACAAACACATTAATACAGCCATAAAAGACTGCTGAGTGGAAAAATATTACAGAACTGACCAAAATACAGCGTCTACAAACCTTCAGTTTCAGTTTAATTTAAAGATTTAACACATGTGGATCTTGAACATGATAAAAATGTCTAATCACAAAAAGATAAAACTATAATCAGAGTCTTTGGTTTTATAAATATTATCATCCGTCAAACCCAAAAGCCCAATGGCCACAAACAGACAGAGTAACCAAACAATCCACACATCAACGTAGAAATCATTTGATTGCATTGAGTAATAAATGGAGAACTTAATAATTACATTAATAATTCCACTAATAAAAACCATCATCATAATCATCAGCGGCAGCATAACATGTTCGCTCATTTCATTAGCATCATTAGCAAGTTAGCAGGCAACCCGTTTCCACAAATAAACAACTATTTGTATAATAACACAAAAACATACAAACTTTATATTTAAAAGGAAAAAAAAAAAAATTACATTGTAAAAGTTTGCATGAGTTTTATATTCTGGCTGTCTAAATTTCGTAAACCACTGTACATTTAGCGAGGTATGAGTAAAAACAAAACCGAAAGTTATCATTCCCACAAGGGTATTTTTCAGAGGAATATGGTTGGATCGTTCCTCTATGAAAGAGTATGATTGGTGTTTATTGCCCTCTGCTGGTTATTCTATCAAAGCCGACTGAGCTGTCAGAAGATGTGAGATCTAATATCTTACATACAGGGGCGTCAGACTGGGGGTAAAACCAGTACTGATTACCAGGG